TCAGTTTCTTCATATTTTTTGTGTATATACATTGAATTGCATCAATATTGCTTGTGGCATTCCCATGGTTACTTGTGCAAATAAAAGAGCTAATCCTATTCACTTGTATGTTCTTAGCTCCATAGAATGATAGTTTTGGGATTAAGTTTGTGGGCACCTTCTTTGATTTGCTTTCCTGTGGATACTTTGAAATCATGAAGAATGCTTCAGTGTCCTCGTGGTTGTAGTTACCTTGTAATATAGAAATGCTTATCAATAGTTTTATGCAGAAGAAGAACTGGTTATGCTAATTCTATTTCAATTTATTTAATAACTAGTTTGTCTTCATGACGAATAAATTTGAACCAGCGAGTTGTGTTATAATTCTACTGTCAATAGGTTTTTCCTCAGTCTCCTCTCGGTAGTTTTATTACTTTTACCTGCATTTTGTAACATTAATCTGTATTTTTCCCGTGCCAATGCTACAATTAGAATCTAAATATTCTATATGTGGAATTAAATTGGCACGAGCTAGCTTCTTTAGCTAATTGTTACTCACAGATAGCAGGAAGTTGAACGGCTTCAAGCGGAGAGAAATGTAGTTGCAAACAGGATGAAGGGAGCGTCAAAAACTAGTAGAAGAAGGTTTCTATTATATTTCTATAGTTTATTTGAATGTTTCCATTCGTCTTATTTGTTCATTTTAAGTATGTTTGATACAGAGAAAAATCTCAAGGAAAGGCTTGTTACCCTGGAAGAAGACCTTCTCAAACTTACAAATGAGCTCCAGCAGGAAGCACAATGTTTGCCAAATATGACACATCCAGATGTTCCAGTAGGAGAAGATTGTTCTACTATTAGAAAAATGGTACATACTTTTTATTGCTTCAATATCTTCCAAGACATGAACCCCTTCCCCTTCCTCCTACATCCCTTCTCTGTGACCTCTCACTTCACCATGTGTAGGTTGGAAAAGCTCGTGAATTTAGCTTCTCTGTGAAGGATCACGTCCAGCTCGGAAAAGATCTAAACATATTTGATTTTGGTGCTGCTGCTGAGGTAATAAACACAAAGTATTTAGTCATCCATTACCTAAACGAGAGGATTTTAATCCATGCCATCCTTCCACTTACTTAAAATGACAATCTTTTATTGAAAATGACACCTAAAAATCCTAGAAATTGAGTAACTTCTCATTCATTTTAACAAGGAAAAGAGATAGCCTTTTCGACTCTTAAAATCACAATCTCCTTCCATAATAAAACCAAAAATTTTTACTAAGACTTGCCGATTCCATTCTTCTTCCAACTTCTTTGGTCCTGATTATTTGTTCAGCTGTCGTGTGGATTTATTTCCAAATGTTTGTAATATGGTGCAAAAATGTGAAATTATTGTCATTGTTTCACTCAAATAAGAAAAAAAAGAAGGGAATCAGTGCACAATTTATGAGATTGTTCTTGATATTTGTAACGCCAAATTGTAATGCTTATTGTCCGTTGGTGAATGCGATAGCGAGAACAGTATCAATTATGATTGCGAATTTTTTTTTTTTTTATGTCACTTACATAATTTATGTATTTAACCTCAAATACGTGACTGGAATGGGTTTACCCAGGAAAAAAAAAAGAAGGTACGTGACTATTTTGATGATGCTAGACTGCTGAGTATGAATGAGATATACATCAATTTCCCCATAATCTTTTGCATTGCTAAAGATTAGCTCTCGTGCAATCAACTCCATCAATTAAAATTTTACTGATAATACAGAATGTACAATTCCTTCACGTCTCATTTTCAATTGCATCGTATGCTATAACGTGTGAGATATTTTTGGTCCATAAAGTTTGATGCAGTAGAAGGGTAACGGCAATTAGGCTGTATAAAATTAATATTCATTTTCTAATCTATTTGGTCTTCTTTACAGGTGAGCGGATAAAAAATCAACTATATACCCACCCTAGTACCTACCCCCACCAAATTTATTTTAAAAAAGAACCCTAAATCAACTCTCGTCTCTCACCAATTCTCTCCACTCTCTCACCGCCAGCAACCTCCCCCGCCAC